CTCCGAGGCCAGACGATTCTTTTTGTGCAACAGGGCGCCAGGCGAGGACTCGAAATCTGATGCCGCAGGGGCCAGCACCAGGCCAAAGAAAACATTCTTGAGTTGGGAGACAAGGGGGGGAGGGAGAGACTTGAGAATGGAAGCGCGGCCCGAAAGAGAGCCACACATAGCCGCGGGCAGCATAATGTGGACGACTCCGAGGCCAGACGATTCTTTGTGTGCAAGAGGGCGCCAGGCGAGGACTCGAAATCTGATGCCGCAGGGGCCAGCACCAGGTAATATGGCTAGTCCAAGACACTGGCTGAAAGCCGCAACACTTGAATGACAGCTCACACACATCTCGATAGTCGGGGGACGTACCGAAGGCTATCGACGCTGCTGGCCACCATTTCACATGCGAATCGCAGGATACAGGCAGGTGGGTGGCGCGCAGCGCTGCGCATCTGACGGTCTAACGATGGGATGCCTAACTCGCCGAGGTGTCGCTTGCGAGTGCGACGGCACGGCGGGGCAACAAGCGAACAGGTCAGGGATGGCCGATCAATATTCTTCACGTTCCAGCTTACAAGCCGAAATCTGCTTCTGACGCGACCAGCGTACATGCATGAGTCGAAAACTGTCGAAGCAGAACACGGGCTCACAAGAGTGGTGCACGCACGGCCGTCCCATATAAAAGACGCGTCGGGATGACATAAAATTGCGGGCACTTTCTTCTCACAGCATTCAGGCAGGACGCGCAAATACTGATCCTGAAAGAGGTTGGCGATGCAAACAGATCGAGCTTTACAGTTGGTCAAGGACGGGATGCCGCGAGGATACAGCTTAGACCGCACAGCAGGGGACTGACGAAGCCAGGTAGCGGCGTCGGGCTCCACCCACACGCGCGAGAGGCAGCTAGAACGAATCCAGCCTAAGACGCACCGTATCACTGCGGGATCGGTGATGTCGTCACCTGCGTGGCGACTCGAGTCGAGGTGCACGACGCCAAAGCCCAACCGCTGCAGGGCGCGGACCGCCCCACCGTCGCAGCCGAGCACCAGCGCAGGGCAGTACCTGCTTCTCGTAGACGCCCGCCCGGCAGAGCGCCAGAGGCGCGTCAGGCGAAGGCCCACCGTGCAGTGATCTGCGGGGGCTGCGGCTTGACAGCAGGCGGCGTCGGCGTCGTTGCCAGGGGCACCATCAGCGGGGAGACGCCCGAGGCCGTGGTCTGCAGGATGAGGTCGTTCATCTGCCTGTCCACCTGCTCGCCGAAATCCACGACGTTCTGGCCTAGGCTGGCGATCCGCTGCTGCATGCGGGCCCGCTTCGCGTAGCGGAGGAGGCTCTGGTCCGTCCTCCAGCGGCCGCGGTCCTTGACCTCCTTCCTCGTGCGCCTGAGCGACAGCAGGTCGTCGGACGCACCCCCATGACGAAGCGAGTAGAGAGTCAACTCGGTCTCCAGACCGAGGGCAGCTGCCGCTCGACGGAACATACTCCGCACCTCGTCGGGGGCGAAAGTCCACGGGCCGTCGGTCGGGCCCTTGTCGTGAACCAGGGCCTCCAGGAGCGGCCAGATGGTCGGGTTGTCGACGAGCGCGCCCTCGTCCATCTCGCCTGTCTTGCCAGGGCGCTCGAGGCAGGCGTCGTTGACGATCAGGGCCCAGTGGCCGTGCCCCAGGACGCCGTCGGGTCGAGGTCGTATCACGCTCCACGCCGTGAGGCGGTATGCCTCGCTGGGCCTCAGGTATGTGTCGAACATCAGCCTGATGAACACAGCCATGCCGAAGAGCTTCCACGCTACCAGGACACCCGCGATGGACGCCATCGCCGCTCGAGGAAGAGGTAGCCGCATCTGAGGGGGAACGAGCTTCCGCCAACCTGTCAAGGCGCGAGCCGCCCGTGGGCACGGAGTCCTGCCAGCGAGGGTCGCGGGCAGGTAGTGCTTCAGAGCGGCCATGAGTACACGGCCCGTGGCACTGTCGAAGCCGTCCAGAAAGAGGTTCACGAAATAGGTAACTAGGATGACATCGACCTCCTCTGCCGTGGTGAACGTCTGGGACGTCCAGCGGCACCACTCCTCGAACTTCTTGGCGGCGCCCCAGTAGTTGGCCATGGTCGTGTCCGACACGGCGGCCGTCTCCAGCACCGACAGGGCCCCTCGGGCGAGCAGCACTGGCCCAGGATGGGTCTTGGTCCTTTGCTCCGCCAGTGTCATGGTCCGCTGCCGTCGAAGTTCGGGGGGCATTCGCTTGGTGCTCCTCGAAGGTCGGCCCGACGAAGAAGCCCGTCCTGGACGGCGAGTCGGCGGCATTGCTCTCGCTGGGGGTCCACCGAATGGCGTGGCGGATGCCCGTGGCCGCCGACAGGGCGCATAGACGGCGTAGAGGGTCGCGCAGGCCTCGGGCGCCAGAACGGCCCTTGCCAGCGGCAAGAGCTAGAGCCAAATTGTCAACGATGAGCAAGATGCGATGATGACGAAGCCGCCCAGACCGAGCCGAGTGTCGCATCGCAAACCCGAGAG